TCTCTCGCTGCACTACAAACTCATTCACAGACAACTTGTGAAGTTTCTATTCTCTCTGTGCATTTTTCAAACACTCAATGGGGTTCTTGAAATCAAAAGGAAAGAGACACCAAACAATGACCCAAAAAGGCATGGCAGTTCTTCTCTTTAAACAAACACCTCTTTCACTTCTTCATCTCATTTTCAATCCCTCGAAGCATGCCTCCCTCACGCGCCGCACCTCGAATCATGATGGAGGAAACCTCGAACTGCAGAGCCAACGATACGAAATTGGACCTCGATGACGCTTCTCATTCGCTAATTGTGTTCTCTTCCAAAAAGACAGAAAAAAGCCAAAGACTACATCAAATGCATCAAGATGCGCCGAGCCATGCACTTCTTGGTATCGGTGAATTGGTTTAACAAGCTGTTCTGGCACAAAACTTTATGGCAATCCGCCATGAAAGACTTGAAAAGGAGTTTAACCGGATTTTGTCAGCTAACCGACGGTATTTGGATCCGGAATCATGTCAAGCCATTCGTCACGCACATTAGCGCATTCTCGGTCTGGTGAGTCTGACAATGAAGATTGGTTGGATCCGACAAGGTGGTTCAGACGGCCGACGATCAATCTGTTGAAGTGAAAGACTCTCCGAACTGCCATGTCAGACCTTAAGTTGATTGCTGCTGTAGATAGATCTCTGGCTATGGCAAAGAGTGTGTGAAGATATATAAATTATTCGAACATCGATGTAGAGGAACAACTCTATCATCGGGATTGGAAGTACAATTCTTCAATGATCAACCGATGAACTCAGAACTTTTGAGCAGCACATCAAAAGCGTTGAATGTGATAAGGATCGCCATGAAAACACTCTTTTATGGTGAGGGCTTCTCTGTGATCAGTGTTCTCTGCATCGAACACGATTAGAGAATGTGCTTCACTGATGTTACCAGAGACGGAGCCATCAATTTGTTCAGATTTCCTGAACTTATAGGAAAGAGTAAAAGCTCACCGAGAAAATTTTCCGGCTAATGGACTTATACGAGTCAATCTCTGGTCTATGGCAGAGATTGAACAATCTTCTCTCATTCGACCTCAACGTGGTTAATTACAGACTCAAACTCTCTCATCAACTTGGTGACTCGTGAGAATAATTTTATCTGAGTTTGTGGTTGTCATTACGAAAGGAACTCGGCGAAGACGTTGGTTGCGGCGGTGGAATCCACCAAGACGAATTCAGTGAGATATACGTATCTTTACTCGCTAATTATAGCGTGTCCTGACTGACATTGTCGCTGACTTCAACATCACCGACACAGTCGCGGTTGCTGGAAACTTACTTTGAAAGTATGAACTTGACGAGGTCCAACACCAACTGTTTCGGTTCGACTGGCGTGGATCGTACTCATGCTCCTTGCAAACTTGACAGCAAACAAGCTCTACAATGACATAGCATTGTCCTATCTCTTTCTGGCAACACATCTTCAATTTGCCATCGAGGAAAGTCCGTAACAATAACCTCAAGTACCTCCTCGGGCGATCACTGGTGGCAAAGCATGAGAAAACAGTGAACAATATGCAGCAACTACGAGCGATGGATTGGAACTAAGGTGTTTTCTACTCTAACCGAAGAATTCAAGTGATGCAAATGTCACCGAGGAACCGTGAAGGGTGTTTAGTCAATTCAACTTTGGCTTTCGAAGAGGTGGTATCGGAAAACAGATGTCGTGGGTGGTACCGGACAGGAAGCTAAGAGATGAGATCAAAGTATCGATAGCGAAGAAGCTTGTGCCGGCTTATAGGAAGTTTTTATGATACGTATTTGATAACTTTGAGTGGGGAGAGAAATCTGGAAGTGTTGGTGAGGTTTTCACCCGATAATTTGGGGAATTATTTGTCGGATTTGTTCATGGGACTGCCGTTCAGGAAGTTCATCATCGTCATCATACTTCATAGTACATTCACGTGTATCCTGGTGTTTGCCGTAGACGTTTAGTAATTCCATAACATGGCACAAAATGTTTTATCACTTTTTGTCTAGCATTTGATCTACATCACAGCTTATTTAACAAAACTTTCGCAATTTAATAACAGTCAGTACAATTCAGTGTTTTCGAACTGGAGCATAATGCAATTTTAATCAGTTTAACAAAAAAAGGCATTTTGATTTTGAAGTAAAAAATAGTACTAATTTTCAAAACATCCACACTAAGGAAATAGGATCAGATTTTTAATTCAAGCCACTAATATTAAGATCCTCATAATAAACTGTACTTTTCTGCCCAAATAGCTTAACTGTTTCACTTAATAAAGTACCAAACACAGTGAAACTTGAAACTTCCATGTATTTGGTTGTTTACGTTTTCTGGCCGCTGATATAGCCAACATATCAAACAGTAGGCAAGACCAATCCATGGATCATAATTGAAATACAAAAGAAGTTTTTTTTTTTTTTAATTAATTAATTTATTTTAACTTCATGTAGTGGGACACTACAAAATAAATATGCTGCAAGAGTCTAATGTTTTCCTTTCCTCATGCCGAAAGCTTCTATACTGTGTTTAGTTGAGAGATTTAAAAAGAAGAATAGAAAATTAGATGAAATATGAATAAAATATCTATATTTTATCTAATTAATTTACAATTTTTTTCTTTTATTTCCAAATCTTCTCAAATCTCAACCAAACACAGCATAAATAACATTATGCCGAGCAGAGGCTCTCATTAAAGATCTCTCTCTGTACTCAAATTGCCAGAAAATGTCAGTTTGCTACGTGTATAATAAATTCATATATGTAAATCTTTACAGAGCATATATTTTATCTAGAATGAGGTAGTTTTGAGGCTCTTGAAGTTAGAAATCATGCTATTTCCTCAGTTAGGACTTGTTGTCAAAATCCATGGAAAAAACTAAGGCTCCGTTTGGTGGAGTTTTCAAAATCTAGTTCCACACTTACTTTGAGTGTGTGTTTGTTTAGGGTTTCAATTTAATTCTAACACTCATTTCTCAAAACTCTAATTCAACAAAATCATTACTTTTCCAAACTCATAACCAAACACATAATTCAAAACTCTTTTCAAAACTCCATTCAAAATCAATATTTTAAAAATTTCTAATTTTGTTAAGATTTAAATATTTTATAATTTAAATATAGTAATTTTTTTTAATTTTTATATTTTTTTAATTTTTTTGAATATTTTTAAATATTACGATTTTAATATTTTTAAATTTAAATTTTATAAAAATAAATTCAACTCTATTTATAAAAAATCTTTTTAAATATTTTAATTTTTGTTATGTATTTGTTACGTATTGAGTGTAGGTTGAATTGAGTTTTGAATTGAGTTTTGAAAGTTTGATTTGACATGTGAAGTAAGAAAATTTGTTTGGTTATGAGTTTTAAAAATAATTTTTTAATTGAGTTTTGTTTTATGTGTTTGGTTACGATTTGAGTGTAGAGTTGTTTTTAAATTTAAAATTTTAAAATTTTAAATTATTTTAATTTTTTAAATATTTAAATTATTTAAATTTTTACGATTTAAAATTTTTGAATATTTATTTTAATTTTTTACTTATTAAATTTTTTAGATTATTTAAATTATTTAAATATTTATGATTTAAATTTTTTGAATATTTATTTTGAAAAAAAATTATTTCCTTTGTAGTATTTTCAATTAAAAAATTGATTAATGTTATTTTTTGTTAATAATAAATTTTTTTAATTGAATTTTAAAAAGAGTTTGGTTATGAGTGTTGATCAAAATTTTCAATAATGTGAAAGTAATGTGTTTTGTTATGAGTTATAACAATTTGAATTAAGTTTTGAAAACTCTTTTCAAAACTCATAACCAAACAAATTTTCTTACTTCACATGTCAAATCAAACTTTCAAAACTCAATTCTACACTCAATTCTACACTTTATTCAAAAACCATAACCAAACAAATTTTCTACACTCAAATCATAATTCTAAAACACACAAACTCAAAATACAATTCATATTCTCAAATCATAGTTACAAAGCTCTACCAAACGGAGCCTAAGTTTGTAATCGAGTTGTAATTTTCTAGTTTTGATCTTCCCGCTCGAGCGCTCGAGTGGAGTTTTCAGTCTCACAGCATTTTGTGTGTCAGCAAAAATACTGGGTTTTGTGTTTGTACGCTCGAGTATGGGATCTTCTGCTTGAGCATAAACCCTGGTTTGGAACACGCAATATAGAGTCCCCGTTCGAGCGTCCATTCCCACGCTCGAGCGGACCGCGCGATCTCTGCTTCTACAAATTCGCTTGTTGGTCCAACTCTAGGATTACTTTTCCTATATCTTCTTTAAGGGTCTTAGGGTTTCTTCTGAGGTTTTCTTTTAGAGTTTTTTGTGAGTTTTCCTTGATGATTTAAATGAGTAGTAAACTCATGTTTTGATAAGCACATATCAAGGAGGTTGATTGGTTATATTCAAGAGTGTTCTTCTTTGATGGAATCCGGAGATTCAAGCGTGGAGTTTCAAAGGAGTTTGATACTGTGCATAGTCATTGATTCGACAATAGAAGTTATGGATTCAACTTCAGTCTAATCAATTTCGAGACGAAGGTTGCGGTGAAAGATATACAGAAGATTTGAAGACAAATTGGAAGAGTTTGGGTAATTATTTTGTTATCTTTGTAATCTTTCTTTTTTCAATAGTGGATTGATTAGTGGCGTTTCGCCCGTGGTTTTTGTTAAAATTCACCTACTACACACCTACCACTACCACCTACTACACACTCACCTACTTCACCTACTCTCCACCTACTCCTCACCTACTACACACTCACCCTCTTCTATATATAGGAATCATGAATCATTGTAATAAAAATCAACATATCAATCAATAATACATCAATTTTTACCTGGTATCAGAGCAAGGTTAAGAACCTACTAATTTCGTTTCACCGGCGGGCGGCAATCTCGCCTTGGCCGCCCACCGGACAAACCCAAATTTCCTTGATTTCTTCTTTCATGGCAGATTCTTCAACAACACTTCATAGCTCGAATACAACTTGAGATTCAACAACATTTCCTTGGTTTCCAGCTTGTGCAGCAGCTATAACATAACATTGCGTTTCTATGGCACGAGCACGAAGAAGAATTTCCCAGTGTGCCTGGCCAGTAACTTTTGTGAAAGCCGCAGGTATCAACAACACCTGTGCTTCATGATTGAATCTCAACTGCTGATAAATCTCAGGGAACCTCAAATCATAGCAAACTGTCAGACCCAAACGTCCAACGGGGCTGTCTACCGCAACAATTTTCTTCCCTGCTTCTGTAAAGCTGCTTTCCTTGTATGAGACACTGGTACAACATCCGTTGCTTCAGCTGCCTCTGCCTTCACCTCTGATTTGGCTAAATCATGATTTGTTAAAGCCTCAGGTCAGAGGTTCGAGGGCTAGTAGAGAGAGAGAGAGAGAGAGAGAGAGAGAGAGAGAGAATCTGAAAGCAAGTTGGAAATGTCTTTATTCTCTATCTGCTGAGCTCACCAGCACATTCACACTCTCTTTCCACTTTCTTTTCTTTTCTTATTTATTTATCATCACACCCAGACACCAACTTTTGTCCCCCTCTTTTCATTTCTTTATTTTTTTTCTTTTACTCACCCATGTGACCCACGATGTTCAGCTTCTCCAACCTATACTTTTTCTTTTCATTACACTCTTGTTCCCCCCTTTCTTTATTATATATATATATATATATATATATCTCTTTTTATTATATTATATTAAAAAAAAAAAAAACATTCATATCTCCCTCCGTTGAGTTTTCCAACTCCATTATTTTTTTGTTTTATTTCTCCCAACCATTTCCTATTCCCCATTCTTTCATTTTTTATTTCAAAATGATATTTTTATTATTTTTTCTTTATTTTTCTTTCACATTTTTAATCTTTTCCAATTTCCATTCATACCATATAGCTTTGCACACCAAACATTTTTATCATCTCGGATTCCACTCCGATCACAATTTTACACACACAAAAAAAAAAAAAAAAAAACACAACAACAAACAACTTTGTTTTTCTTTTCTCAGCCGGCCACCAACCGAACCTCACTTCTCGCCTATTCGCGTCTTTTCGTTCTATGCCTCCGTCCTGCGTTGACGTATGCCTCTTGTTCCCACCTCATGGCACATCATATCCTGGTCCTCCACTGCAGCTATGGTGGACCTCCAATCGAACATCACGTTAGGCTCACTTCAGTCCTTATTTTCCGCCTTTAGCCACTTATCTCTGCTCCGCATCCTATATACCATGCGTGGGACAGAGCCGTTGGGCGTTTAGCTGCGACCTCATTTGTTTCTACTTTGCACCTGATATTGCGACAAGTTTTAACCGCCGTCATGTCTCCAACATGACTCAAAGTATTATGATTGGCCTCAATATCAGTTTGCACCGCCATTTTTGCTCCACAGACGCATCGGAAAGTCAACGGAGCAAAATCAGAGGTGTTTGGTTGAGTCACGGGCCACCGCGACCAGTTTATCTCTTGTTGACTTCGTTGAGGTTGAAAGACAAGTGAGGCAAAACTACGGACGAAAGAGGCATTTTCTGGGCAACCGAGCTTACAGATGTTTACAGAGATGTTTCAAGATTTGCAGCCTTAGCGAAATCTCAGAGACGAAGAGTTTCAAATGTTGTATTGCTTTCCAAGCTCAGCCTCCGCTTCGGTTATAAAGACCTGACGAAGAGGCAGACTACGCGCATGCGCCACTTGAGCCAAACGACAAAACGGGCGCGCAAGCCAATTGGTGACGCGCCTCGCCATCAGTGTCCGACACTCTTTTTAATGACTTGGTGCCTTTTGATGGCACGCCTTTTATAGATTGGGCACGCCTTTTGATGGGCACGCCTTTGAAAAAATCGGGCATACTCTTCTGAGGGTGCGACTTTTTACAGTCACAGACGTCTGTATTGTCCCGGAACATTGATTCCAATTACTCCTTCATGGTCCCAAAGATCTATAAACTGTCCGACATTGATCGGTTAGTTCTATAAAAGGGCAGCAAGACTCTGTAAACTGTCACAACAACTGTCACAACATTGTCTGACTACAACGGCCACATGACCCTATAAATGTCTTTTACATCGTTCTGACACCGCATCCAGTGTCACTCTACACCGTTATTGACACCCACCATAACATGTGTCCTCTTACAACGTATGACACCCCCAACAGTGTCCTCATACAACGTTATACACCACCATCCAGGTCTTCACCAATGTTGAACGACCATACGGTGTCACCTATTCCTCTTGTTTTTATGTATGTCTTGTTTTTTGTAACTCTTCTCAAACTCAAGTTGGTTATTCCTATCCCTTGAGTTTGCGGGGGCTGTTAAAATTCACTACTACATACCTACCAATACCACTACTTACAATCCACCTTTCACCTACTTCACTCTCTCACTATCCTACTACTACCACTCACCCCTCTTATATAGATCATGATCATTGTAATAAAAATCAACATATCAATCAATAATTACATCAATTTTTACAGTTTTTTTATCACAATTGAGGTGTTTCCAATTGTGATTTTCCACGTAAAAATCGTTTTGTTTCGATTTATTTTTTATCAAATAACAATCTAAATCTTTTAGTGTATTGTAATTTAAATTGATGTTTG